GGCTATTCCGAATGCCGCAAAATCTTTTCGTGTACACATGTCATCCGATGTGAACTGGTTAAGCAGATGACAAAATTAAGGTATGTATCACATTGAAACAGTTATTTTTTTCTCTTTTTTAGGAACTTATCATTTCTAAAAATAGAAGACTTTGGAAGTTTCATAAGGTAAAAATGCAATGCAACATACACTTTAGTTTACAAATGGGTGTTGAACAATACATGTATGTGTGTGGAATATGAAGAACAAAACTTTTTAGATAACTCGTTAAATCGTAAATTGCATACAATTTAGACCAAAAAAAAAAAATTGATTACAAATTTTTAAAAAGCTGATTTAAATTTTTTAAATAGCCCATCTTTCTTATTTTTTTTAAATCATGATTTTTAACAACCCTGTTGTACATAAAAAAAGAGAAGATGGAGTGGTGGACCACTTGTGAAAAAAGTAACCATAGAATGACTGTTTCCTCATAACTTGGAGGCTACAATGGAAGGCGGAAATAAAACTGAATTGCTGTAGATTTTAAAAAGTACTTGTACTGAAAACTCAAAATAGTCTTTTGTTTGCAAGTTGTCCAAATTTTCTGGGAAAATTCCCATGAACAGCCGAGAGCCGGAGAGTTTCAAAAGAAAGACCGATTCAATCTCAAAGAATTTCAGATAATAAAAGCCACGCATTGAAGCGCAACTTTATTTTGTTTGATATTTAGATTCGCTATGATATGCAGTACATGTACATCAAAGAACTTCCCACTAGCGTTATTTTACAAAGCATTTAGCTCCAGGGCTAAACACGTGTACAATCCATCTTGAGGCTTTACGTGAAATACGTGACAGCAAGTGGGCGTTTATCCAGATAATTTTTTTATTTATCCCAATGGTGCAAAGTCTCTCTTTTTTTTTCCAATGTGTTTGAAAAGCAGTCAACTAGATCACTTCAAATCCATATTACGTTTGCATTCTGTCATGCCTGTACACTCGCGAGGCCCCTTTCAATGGCATGAATGGAGTTAACCATTGTGTGCATGCTATTGAGCTATCACGGTAGAATCGCGTTAGAAAAAGCGTCAACGCAGCTTGTGAAATATTGTCCATTTACACGATATACAAACGGACGCGGAACGCGCAACATCTGAGACAAACAAAAATTTAGCGTACAAAAATTTCATTTCTGTTGTCTAAGGGGCGTGGCTAACTTGCAAACGGCGATAGCTCAATTGCATTCTTCTGCAAGTATTAAACAAGGCAATTGTGGGCTTCTTGTAGTCTTGTCAAGGTATCCATTTCTTATGAAAATCAAATTACAAAAACAAAGCTTGAGGAGAAGTAGGTTTATTCACTAATAACTGGACACCGTAACAAACATTAAGTGGATGCCGTAACTAACGTACGTGTAGAGTAAAAAATAGCAAAAGCATTTGGCGATAGAAACATTGTAAAGCAATGTCATTCATATTATCAAGCTACAGGTACCTGTAGTTTTGGAAAAAAATTAATTTAAGTTTAACGTTAGTTACGCTGTCCACTTAATGTTAGTTACATGTACATTGTATGGTGTCCATTTATTAGTGAAAAAGCTACTTCTCCTCAAGCTTTTTTTCCTGAAATTTTGATTTTAATAAGAAATAGATATGTACCTTGACAAGACTACATGCATGCCCACAACTGCCTTGTTTGATACTTGCAGAAGAGTGAAAAGTGGACACCATGTAACTTACGTTAACTGTCCAAAAATACCATTATAAGGCCCCAAAAAAAGTCTCCAGTTTCTGGTATGGAGCTTGCCCCGAAAGTGGTGCGGTGACGAGGCTTTTTTTTTTACTGCTTTTTTTCTTCTTCAAATGTCGGCTGATGACTGCAAATGGTGATCGACTAAATTTAGTGCAAATGGGAGTCCAGAGAGGCCACATAAATACTCGATCGTAACCCCATTTAAAAACATGTTAAAATTGAGCAGCAGTAGGATTCCAGTCAAACCAGTGAGTTTGGCGGTTTTGAGACATCATCTTACATTGAAAAAAACTTTTTCATTTTGCCGACACACATGGCTACGGCGACGCGCGCATACCAGAAACTGGAGACTTTTTTTTGTTGGCCTAATCTGCCTTGCAGTGAAATATATTTGGCCTGTTATCTTTTTAATGCTGTTTCAACTTGAAGGGATGTTTCTCCCAACAACTGAAGAGAAAACTACATGTTACAGCATGCAGCTTTCATCTTGCTTAAAATCTCTAATGTCCTACTTTTGGTTGCCAGTATTGTGTCCTGACACACAAAGCAACTGCCCCATGATAAATAACAAAAATGTATCCAGTTCTAACACAATGCTTTTGCTACTGAAGAGCCGCCCTGATAGAAGTGTGCGTGCCAAGATTGGTCTATGCACATGATGCAAGTGCGTACCAGTACATGAACAACATTTACATTGATGTACATGTAACTCATCGTTCCATTGAAATCTATGGCCTTTGATAAAAAAATAGAATTGTCCGGGGCCCCTTTGTCACTTTTGTCAGTACCCAACAGATCCGGTTCTCCGATTGTCACAATCTATAAATAGCGGGAAATTCTGATGTTTTTGTCAGGAGACAATAGCAGAGCTGAAATTGCGACGCACCCCACTGGCTGTGCATTTGAAAGTCCACGGAAATGTCAACAACAAAACACCAAAATCAATGGTGGAAACAGTGGGCCTGCTATTCGCTCTAGGCCCATCACCAATAGTTAGGTGGACCCATAGTGAGGGCCTGTCCGTGGGGCCAACTGCCCACTCTCATTAACTGCAGTGGAGCGCAACACCAAATCTAGGACAAGCCAAACAAAATTACGGACAAGCCAAAACGGACACCTACTGGCAGACTGGGCTTCCTCAAGTGACAAAATCTCTTGTTGGCTCAATTTCCTACTAAGACATGGAGGCTGAGGGTGGGCTAGGGAGGCTAGGGGGAGACATGGGCTATTGTGAGGCAGGCATAATTGAGGTCCATTCAGGGCAGTAGAAGGGCTTCTTGTTTTGAAAACAAGCGTCTTGGAGTGAAAGGAACCGTTTTACTGCCTTGGGTAACTCCATTCTGTCGGCGCTCGGGATTGAACCCTTTTGTTTCCCCATTTTGGAAGGACATTTGTATTTAATACATGTATGTTTATGGCTGGATGCATGAAAGTTGGGATGCTTGTTGTTGTGGAATAGTGTCTTTCTTTATGAGCAGATGAGGGAAATGAAAGTTGTTATCTAAGTTTCCGGCCAACTCTTCAACCCAAAGCAAACTACAAGTACGTAAACAAATTGTTTTGCAAAAAGCCTGTTATCACCAAGCAATTAGATTCATGTACAATGTACATTGTAACATTTTAACTTGACACTTGACAAAATCTGCCCATGTTCTTAATTGTTCACTTCTCAAGCATGTCAGGTATAAAAGCAAGCTAGCTACAGTAGCTTTTATTCTGCATTCATAATTACCTAAATAAGACAGTTTACCCATTCCTATTGGTCGAGAGCCCATCATGTGGGTGGTTTTAAACAGTTGACTGCCAGTCTCCTGATGACGAGCAGAGCATACTGTTCGAGACATCGAGTTAAACCAACTGGTTCTTCTCAGAACCACACAACTCACTAAAGAGATATCATTCACATGGTGTTGTAACCTACCATTTATTGATCATGTCCACCATGCAACCCAAAAGTCTTATTTATGCCTTTAAAGGGAATATTCATTGGCTTTTGCTGTTGTTTTAATGGTCAGAAATGAACTATTTGATGGGTTAGTAAAATAGATCAAATATTGTTACACTGACATGTTTGAAGTTTTGTGTTCGAAAATGCTGGAAAAACCAAGAAAAACAAAAATGTTCAAGTAGTCTGGTTCCCCGACTCCACTAAATATAAAATGGATCAATTTATAGATACCGGAAAATTGTAAGGTAAGGGAACCAGTCTATAGCTGGCCTGCACCTGTTCATGAACATGTAACCAATAGCAAACAAAATTTGGACTGAAAAAAAAAAGGTAACTTTGGAGCAGTAGTTGAAAAATAGTTAGGTTTTTCCAACGGTGGTCAGCCGACCACCGTTGGAAATGTATACAAAATACTATTTTCTTGAAAATGACTTCACACCAGGTGCCATAATTTTACAGCATGCTTTAGACTGCCATTTACTAACATCCTAGTAAGGTATTTTCATAAAAACTTGGTAGTTTTATTTTTCGATGCTTGCAAATGTTGTATATTCCCTTCAACATGTTTAATTCAAATTCAAATTATAATGTAATGACTGAAATGCATGCCAACATGTGGATTGGGTTGTCAGTCCCTGATTCCGTGGGGTTTTACTAGAATATCACTCCAGAATTTCCCTCCCTTTTAAAGCCCGAGTCCATCATTTGCAGCTATCCAAAAAGTAGCTAGCGTAATTATTGTTGAAAAACATACTTGTTTGAAAGATAATGAGGGGACTAAACTCCCTGTGAAATTGTTCTTTCTGGCAAGCTGTCATTTTGAAGAAATCAACGAAAGAAGGCCTTTCCAACAGTGCTTCTTAAGACACACCGTAGGAAAATTTAAATTAGTAGTTCGTTTTGTTATGCAGCGAAGCGCGCGCAATAATTGGCACGACACACACGCACCCCCGGTTGCTATAATTCGTCAGATCAGTGCGCGACATAGCGTAGCTGCATTCGGCTTAGCGAGAATGTGTCTCGGATGCTGAATTCAGGCGCAATTCAAAACATGATTCAGCAACTTTTGATTTGAAATCGAGATCCTAGCATGATGTTTTTCTCCAAGTATACAGCTAAAACTGAGCTGAAACTTCATCAGGTTAGTTGTTCAGCATCCTTCTTTAGATTTTGAGCACTTTTGTTGCTTCAAACGAACAAAATGCACTAATTACAAATGATGGACTATAACTTTAAACTGTAATTCTTTCCTCATCTTCTACCACTTTCCCAACCAACTGTCAAATAAATCAACCAATTAATAATATAACTACACTCACGTGTAAACATTTCCCCATCCCTGGATCTTATCGGCCTCTTGTACTGCAAACCGTAACCTGCCGTCACCTTTGTCCACCCTGTCTTTACTCCCAGCTTCATCCCACATCAGCTCAATGGTGTAGTGAGTTACCTTGCCCACGACTGGTGGGTCAGGTTTCTTGGGTGCTGTATGGAAGTAGGAAGACATGAAAATGCCCAGTTCTGTTAAAAACATTTGTACAGTATGTACAGTATGTACAGTACTGCATGCATCTGATTATAGGTTCCGATCATATGACATCAAGGGGGAGTGTGTGGCCTAGTGGTTGGGGTTCGTGACTCATGATCAGAGGGTCCGGGGTTCGAATCCAGCCGCTGGCCATATATTGTGTCCTTGGGCAAGGCACTTCACCCCCACTTGCCCTTCTCCACCCAGGAGTATAAATGGGTACCGGCATTAGCTGGGGAGTAATCCTGCGATGGACTGGCATCCCATTCAGGTGGAGTAGAAATATTCTCAGTCGTTTCATGCCAAGGAAACCGGAGATAAATACCGGCCTGATGAGCCACATTGGCTCGCGACAGACTTTACTTTTTTTTCATATGACATCAAAGTACCACATGGACGCCATCTTTCTGGAAACGGGGGCACTGTTAAAAAAAAGGCTCTTGTGAAAAAAATGGGTAGGCCTACTTGTAAAAAAAGGGCACCCCCCCCATGCAAATGTTCTTTTCCCAAACGACATCCGCATACATGGTTATTAAGGGCCCTCTACGATGCTTTTATGATACGTATGCAGGTATATAATAATATTTTTTCCTAGTCCGAGTAACTTGGACCCAACTTATCGCCTTTTTTAACATTTGGACATGGTCTGGCGATAGTAAGGTCCAAGCTAATACCGAGACCTAGACAACACAGTCCCAAAAACCAACATTTTCCAACAAAAAACATCAGATTTCACCTTCAAAACGGCCTCCAAATTACTAGATATGCCACCTGAGGTACAAGTAGACATCGATAATTAAGATGGTTGTACTGAAGTTTACTTACGATCCGGAAAAAAGTGAAATTTTCCGTTCAATTCTGAAGACCCCCTCTGCCTAGGTTGTCGTTGTTGTGCTCACGTTCAAAACTGCATGATAATGGCGTCTGACCTCGACCTCATGCAAATGTCTGGACGGCGCGCTTGCGCATAATGCACTGCATGTACGGCAGATTCCCCTGCGCCGCGCCGACGACTGTTTCCTGATGTAGAGTGCTGTGTAAGTTCGCGGTACGCCTAGGAGTCGCGCTGGCTAGCCAGGCGCATTAGAAATCTTTTTTTTTTCCTAATTTTATATTTTTTTCTCATGTTTTTAGTAAAGTTAAGTCCAAAACGCCATAGCGTACACCCATATGCAGATGTCGTTTGGGAGAAAAAAATTCGCCCCCCCCCCCGGATACTATGCCTCTGCATTCTGTTCCACAATTTTTTTGATCACAAGATCACAAGATCATGTCGAATTGGCACTTGCAAACATTGCAATCAAGGGAAACATGGAAACTGCTATACATTTGTACATGTGCAATTTGCACATGTAGCTATGATTTGCATATATGTACATACACATATGACATGTATGATATGTTTTATACGTGCACATTTACAGCATACCATTGACCATAGCCTACACATATCCTACAAAACATTGTACAACCATGACAACTGTGTAACAAACCTGTGACCGTGTATTTTGCTCACCTGACATTGCTGCAATGGAGTTTCAGAACCCTGCAATAGCTGCGTAGGAGTGCTGGATGAACTGATCCCCCAAAGTTTAGCACACAGCACTCAGCAGACAATCTTTTTAACTCACACTCACTGCAGCCTGACGCAAATTCAACAACCAATCAGCATTACGTAAGTTCAACAGCCACTGACAGCATGCATAGCACTGCAGCAGTTGAACTGCACAAACAACACAGCTGTATCACTACCAGCACTTTACGAATGTGAGTGACACGGTACGATAAGCAGTGCAACTGTGCAAGCCGTTCTCGTACCGTGATTTCGAATCCCAACACCCTTCGATAGTTAGCAATAGTAGCTAGTGTCCAAAGAAGCATACGTTGAAACCGAGGTGTCCCCCTTCACGGGAATTATAGTTTGAATATAATTGACGCTGATTGAGGTTCCGTACCGTACGAATACCGTCGGCGATCCACGCGCTGTAACACTGTATGCTGTCAAGAGAGGGCGCTATGTACATTGTCACTCGCAGCATTACTAGCAAAAAACGGACTGCGCCGGGCGGGATGCATGGGGTGACGTATGAGCCGATGAGTGTTTTTTAAATTTTAGATAATTATTTGGGTGTTTTTTTTTCAGAGCGATCGGAACATGTGCGTGTGGGCCTACACCTCAATAAATTAATAGATAAATGAATAAAAAAAAAAAACCTCGTATTTTTGGCTTTATTTTTGGGATTACTTCTTTAACCTGTGTTGAACTCCTGTCTGAAGATGTGGCTATATGCAGGCGTGTTTGTAAACATTGAAAGAATAATTCAACGAAAAAATAAACGAAATGTCCTATAATTATCTCTCCCAATTTAATTGTATCAAAGCATAAATATATGTAAGAAAAGGTATAGACAATCTGCAGACCTCCCGTCCCCCTCAAAAAGCGGAAAAGGTATTACAGAATGAATCACATGATCACTCATCACGTTCACCGTAACATAGGTGTTAAGAAAATTATTCTGGGGAAAAAAATCCACTGTAATAAATTATAAATTCATGTCAACTTTTTGTTGAATCCAGTCTGAGCCACATATAAGTCAGGCGTCATCCTGCCTCGAAACATAAAAAAGAGAAGTTATTTTCCCTTGAATATTTTTGAACCAGGGGTACATAATGGCAGCCTGCCTCTAGCTTATGGATTCTGCAGATCTGAATACAAGGCCGCATCCGAACCACTCGGCTATACGGCTAGAAATAACACACAGGTACTGTGTGAGGTGGCAGTAGCCGCTTCCATTTACTTCCAGACGCAGCCAATAATTAATTCGGACGCACGGCCTAAGACAGGTAAATGCCGACTCTACAAACAAGAGTCTTTTTTGTGAGAGTCATTTCTTTTTCTGGTTCACGATACGTGCCTTTATTCTACAATTCCAGTGAAACTTGAGGGTTATTTTGCCCACCTCCGTGCCCCTTATCGACCTTGTACAAGGACTCCTTGTCTAATTTTAAATATTTTTAATGCAGTTGCAAGTGCCAGTTTTGAAAGATTGTTATATCCTGCCCAAATGAATAGCATTGAAGTTGTTTAAATTAAAGGAAAACTATGCACCTTTTCACGCGCACTGTTGACACGTGGGTCATATACTCATTCTGTAAATTTGGGGTCCAACGTATGACATTTTCCCTACTCCTGTTTACCTTGGAACTTTGATATTTGCCATTCCAGAAATCATTAACATGCATTATGACTTAAAATGATTTTTCCCTTTTTATTTGTTAGCAGGTAGTTTGTTATCATTAATGACTCACGGAGGACGACTGCATTAAGGAGTGCATCAGAATTATAAAATTAAATGTAGCTGGATGTATAACTGGGGCAGAAGAAGAAAAAAATGACCCCAAATTTATAGAATCACTCGCCTACGGGCCTCACTAATTAGCGTGGTAATTCGTTTTACCATATAATGTATTACCGTCAGCACGTAGGCCTATACTAGACTGACCTCGTTCGTTTATTAAAAGAACGGTAGTCTATTCGGTTGTCACTTTATAGTGCTCCCATGTTATCAGCCTATAGGCCCATGCAGGTAATTAAAATAGTCTCGACTGACGAAAACAAAACCAATGTGATTGATCTGAGAGTCCTTTTCTTTGTAGTTTCCGAGTAACATCCGCGCTACATCCTTTTCCTGTACCGCAGTAGTCCCTACTCAACAATTCAATCAACATGTTCATTCGCCCGCCGCATAAATCCTTCGGTGTTCACTGCACTCATCAACTTACTCAATTTCAAAATGACCACGACCCCCCTCGAAGTCCAATTCTGCAAACCAGCTGGGGGAATATCGTGGGTAATACAGCAAACAAAGCAATGACGTCAGTAACAGAGGTGTTTTAATTGAATCCAGTAATTACAAGTGTAAACCGTGTCCGTGTCTTTAAAAAAAATCAATCTTCCAAATAATTTTGCCGGAACTGAACCGCACCATGGCTTCTGTATTGTTCCCAAAAGGCCCTTGAACCCCGCTTACGTGTCAAGAGACCGCGGAAGGAAGTGCACGGGGCGTTGCTAGAGGCGAAGGGCGCATGTGTCAGCCTTATGAGTATGTACCAAATCATCTTCTTGACGGCAAACTGAGTCAAATGGAACACAATTATTAATTGCACCAAAATCTGCAGGTCCAAATTATTTTAGCCAAAAAAAAATTCCCTTCGCGAACTTAAGTTCAAAGCTTCCAAACTGACACACGTTGGAGTTTTGAACTTAAGTTCGTGGGTTAAGGGACAGTTTTTTTCGCTAAAATAATATGTGTTTGCAATCTAGCAGACCGCAGTCGCGACCAAATCACGGATTTCATAGGATATATATTTTTTCAGCATCCTTGTTCAGCCACCACACGCAACTTCACTGCCACTCACCACAGCGGACTGCCGAAACCGCATTGCAAAACTAAATCGTTCTTTTGTTTTTGCATTGTGGGTTTAATATAAGGTAATGATCAACCACCATCATCACAATGCCTGCATGCATGGTTACCGACAATCTAATGCCATAGCGCACTACAACAACCATGATGCGCTTTTTAATAAATCATCAATTTACGTAATTATGAGGATGGAAGAAAATATCCTTCCGATTTGTACGAAAATGGTTACATCCCCAAAGCGTAGTACATTAGTGGTTGTTGTATGCGCTATTACAATTCGGGCCCGCAATGGCGGATCCACCGGGCGTTGGGAGGGACACGGCAACGGGGCCATCCCCCCCCCCCATAAAAAACTTAAGTGACGTCGCAAAAAAGGCAGCTTCTGCGTACACCACCCACAAAACTCAACAAAAGCAATACAGTTTAATACAGCACCAGTTTAATGTGTAGTGACAGGCCGAATGAAGTGCTCATAAGTGCGCATGTACATAATTTAATCCATTGCATTAGCTAAATTAATGAGCAATGGAGGAATTTCAAGTTGGGCCTCTGTGCGCTGTCGGAGGCCCTGGTTTGGTGATTATGAGTGCTGTCGCAGTGCAGCACTGAAACCGAGCGCCTCAATCATGGGCGTCGCGAGGGGGGGGGGGGGCAAGGTGTGCATTCCCCCCCCCCGGAAAAGCCCCCCAAAACAAGAGAGAGAGGGAAAATAAAAGGGAAAAAAGAAAGAGGTGCGAAGTCGTATTGCTGTTAATTTAATGGGTTTTTTTTGGGGGGGGGGGGGCAAATGTCCCTGCCCACCCTTGAAAAAATGATAAATGGAGAATATGCGGGAAAAGCACAGGGATTTCAGGGGGAAAATGTGCTTTGCCCCCCTCTAGAAAAAATCCTGGCGACGCCCATGGCCTCAGTGCTGTCTTTTGTTGAGAGGATTAAAACGAAAAGGTCCTCGATTCATACAGTGGCTATATACAGTGGCGTAGCCACGGGGGGGGGGGGGGGGGGGGGGGGGGGGGTGGGGGGCGACAGCCCCCCCATGAAACCTTGTCGCCCCCCCAGTCGCCCCCCCACTGAGATTTTGAGTTTCTAAAAAAAATTATCATTGATCTACATGACGCGCCCCCCCATGAATTTTAAATGTTCCAGCCCCCCCCCCCAGCGGCCCCCCCCCCACTGAAAAATTCCTGGCTACGCCACTGGCTATATATGACCCCAAGAGCCTCGGTTTCATCTATAATGAAGCAGTGATCAGACTAGCTCGTTGGGAATCCAACCCGCATGCGCAGAAGAAATGCCCACTCTAGTGTGATGTCCGCGCATGCGTCAATCGAGGGTGTATAATGCACAAGCCTGTGCTTTCAACTTCTTCATAAAAAAAAAAATCGGCATCATCTAGGCCAACACCATCCTGTACGGCCACTCATTGGTAAGAGTTACTGACAAGCACATCATGCAGTGGACATTATCTTTATGAATGATTCGTCCATTCTGAGGCGTCGGTCGGCGAGATGGCTTGGCAGCGGATGTGCGTCACTTAGTCAACCAAAAACACTTTCGTCAATTATTTGTTCAATGTTGAATCGAAGGCAACATAATAATGCAATTGTATTTTCGCATGTTTCTCCACTCGCTCACTTGAGATAGCAGATTATATCCATGTATACGCATACGTTAGGCGTATGTTGGCATGATGATAAATGTTGTGTGATTGGGACGATAAGTTAATTACAACGTAATGCAGGACTGGAGCGAGGTCGAACTTCAATTCTCTAATTTGATTGTTTAACGGAGGAACGATGTTATTGCAGATCTAAAGAAAAAGTGGAAGGAAACAGTCATCGATTTTTCCTCAGTGAACAAATGTATTTAAGGCCACATCGTCATTCAGTTTTATAATCAGCATCGCGGCCATAATTGACCGATATAAAAACTAGCGAGTTAACGGAACGCACAGGGAATTCGAAGTCGTCGCAATTATCCTTTTAGAGCCCCTTGGCCCACTGCCGGTAAAGCCTCCACGAGCGGAGCCGAGAGACACCGTCTGTCAGCAAGACGTCAAACATACTACTGGGGGAGACCGATATCCTATCCATCCAATACGCCGAGTGTCTTTTTGGGACGAGACGGACTGATGAGCTATATGGTGTAGCGCATTCGTAAGCCGACCGGATGAGTTTGGAGCCGTTTCAGTGCCCGTAATAGTCTCATACTTATTCAGCATCTTCTACAACATCATGGATTTTCTTCAGGAGCATCTCGCGATGCATTGATAGAACATCCCGAGTTCACTGCTACAAAAACCATGGAAGACTCCCAGGTGACGGATGATCAGGACCCCGTCGTGTCACCGATGTCGGCGATGACGACGACCGCACCGTCACCATCTCCGCCGGTCCTGGGGATATCGGTCCTCCTTCTGGTCATCCTGGCCGGAATTCTCGGCAACATCCTCGTGTGCCTCGCCGTGACTCAGTTCCGGACACTCCGGACGGTGGCCAATTTCTACGTGGTGTCTCTGGCGGTGGCGGACGTCCTGGTCTGCACCGCCGTCATGCCCCTGGCGCTGTACCAGGAGGCGACTGGGGGAATGTGGTACCTGCCCGGCCCGCTCTGCAAGATCTGGGGCGCCATGGACATCATGCTATCCTCCTCCTCCATTCTTCACCTGTGCGCGATCTCCATCGATCGCTTCAACGCCATTACGAAGCCAATTAAATATGTGGCCAAGCGGACGGCTAAGATGGCCTTCACGCGCATCGCCATCGTGTGGATGCTGTCCGCTCTCGTCTCAATCCCGGCTTTCTTTCTCTTCCAGAAAGAAAATGACCTTTGCGTCCCGAATGACACCACAAACGTCTATGCATGGTGTTCCTCTTCGATATCCTTTTACATCCCATGTGTTGTTATCCTGATCGTGTACTTCAAGATTTACAACGCTGCAAAGCGGCGAGCCAGACGGGTCATACACCCAGGCCCCGTCTGCACAATCTCTGCAAATATCAGGCAACATGCGGCGGTTTCCCAGTCCTCCTTTCAAGATGAGGGACGGTCAAATCAATTGTCGAGCCCGGCGATAGCGGACAGGCCAGACAGTGTGCAGTCGGTCGAACCCGTTCCACCGGGCGTTCCCGTCCGCGACGTCGTGCCGGTGACAGCCATGCTGTCAACCCGAGCCGAGGCCCAGTCGCGAATCTCCCTGGCTCGTGAGCGCAAAGCGGCCCGGACCATCGGCATCGTGGTCGGTGCATTCATCGTCTGCTGGCTGCCATTCTTCATCTTGCACAGCATCTTTAATCCCATGTGTTCCTCTGGACACGAGGGGCTTTCCTGCGAGGCTGTTCCCACGCTGTACCGCATCTTCACTTGGGTTGGCTGGTGCAACTCCTCACTAAATCCCATCATCTATACCGTCTTCAATCGAGAGTTTCGTCAGGCTTTTAAGAAACTCCTAAAGTGCAGAAAGAACTAGTATTGCAAGTACTCGGACCACTCCCTGGACTCAAGAGCTATTAAGATCGAATGTGGGTGGTAAAAGTTATCAAAATATGAACGAATTTAGCTATTTTCTCCCATGTAGGCCTACTTCACCACTCTATTCTCGCGTTACATGTGTTACTCGCCATAATGTACTGAGAATGGATTTACTGTTGATGATAGAACTGATACCCTTAATCCATTTAAACGGACTTTATTTTCGTATGGACAGAGTATTGGTTCAATTCAGCAAACTCTATTAACCGGATATTGGCATTTCTTGCACGTGGATCACACCCCACCCCACCCCCACCCCAAAGCAATCTGTCCTTAAATTTGAATGATTAGTCAAATTGTTTAACAGTTCATTCAACAGAATAAGAAAGAAAAAGTGTTGGGTGCATATTTGTGAAAAGGGCAATGATCAAGTTATCGAAAATTGTAATCAAATAAAAATCAAGTTATCGGAATATGCAATCAAATAAAATGTCTTGTTTTACTCACTGATATTACACGTATGATGACCCATCATTCAACCCAAGCTTACAGTTACAAACCTGTCGCTAACTATGTCTTTTTAAAACAGCAAGTGCATCATAATTATGTAGGTACGAGACATAGTTTTGAACTTAAAAATCTACAACGGTCACCATTTTGCCAAATAACACATAAGTAGGCCCTATATTATTATTAGCAACGAGACATTTATTAGTAAAAGGGCGTGAAAATTCGGTGATCTGTGGACGAAACGATTTTCCGGTTAGTAATAATAATAATATTAACTGTATTTATTGAGCGCCTTTTGCCAGAGGATACAAAGCGCTGGGGGAGAATGCAACCAAAAGACAGGTAAATGAAGTATATGAACATAATGAGACCCATAGTTTTGTCCGGTTATTTTGATTAAGGAATTTGATTGTTATTTGCACCCCCTCCTCCTTTTGGTTTGCTTTTCTTTTCCCCTGCATCTCTCTATTAGAAAAATGAGCTCTAAACTTCAAGAAAAAAATTACCACCCTCTTCTACTGACAGTAAAAACAAAATATTGAAGACACCTATTAGTGCAGAACATTTGTCATTATGTTTACATCACATGCTTGCCATTGAGCAGCTCTCAAACCCTTTATCTCAAATTATTGACAAACCGAGTCAGTTGATCAGACCTAGGTATATCCGACCTTGCTTCATTGAGGCCTCGTGTGCAAATGATTCACTAACTGAAATTAATAGATGCGAAAATAAAAAATTGTCACGCGGTATTAATAATAGAATTAAAAACGCTTTTGTGTGTGTTGCCGCACAACAATGATCCCCATAATGCGATTTGTATACACTGACAAAGGAAATTCAATTATTGCAAATAAAACGTGACGTTCACAAAAGGCTGGGCTGTAGCGACCAGAAAAAACAAGAGCACATCCTCGTGTGGCCCATTGTCACCTCACAGTTGATCGCACTACAGGGTGATGCAAAAAGAAGGAAGCCCACTTTTGACAGGAATTTTAACCTACTAACTTAAAGGGAAGACACATCATTTGCGAACATCAAAAAACGAAATGATCAAATTATCACGAAATACCTTATTGAATTGTTAGGGACTGATGGTCTAAAGCATCCTTTAAAATTGTGGCTCCTGGTGTGCTGATATTTTCAAGGAAAAGTGTATTTTCCAGCGCTGGTCGGCCGACCAGCGTTGGAGAAAACTGGCTATTTTCAAAAACATTTCCTAATTTTTCATTTTTAGTTATTCTGACATTTCTTTGCAATTGATTATACACACCTGTGAAGGGGGTACAAGCCTGCTAGACTGATTCTCTGACCTTACAAATCCCCAAAGTGTATTAATTGCTCCGTTTCATCTTAAGTGGGGTCAGGGAGCCAGACTACAAGAACATGATAGGTTTTCTTGGTTTTTCCAGCATCTACAAGCCCAAAACGTGAAACAAGTCAGTTTAACAATATTTTCTATAACATACTAATCTTCCAAATCCATTTTTTGCTTAAAATTGCAGCAAAAGCAAATGTTGTACATTCCCTGTAACTTATTTGATTTAAAAAAGAATAATGTAGGGAGGTATAGCTCTTCAACCATACGTGGTGAAAAAAATCTTTAAAAAATCGCAAGCAAAGTGTCATGCTAATTTGATTACAAGTCACCAAAATCGCTGTTGCCCACGTGTAAGTCTAGTGTAGCGTGTTTTTGTCTTCACATCAAGCTCCTGAGCTCAGTCAGGCGGATGGAATAAAGCCGTCCGCGGACAAACAGGTTTGGCACAGGGTCAAAATGTGCATTTGCAATCATTTTTTCGTCACATATTATAAAGATCAACATTTGAATACCATTAAATAAAATTTTTGAAATATGCTCAACAAGTAGGTGAAAATTGCTGTCAAAAGTGAGTTTCCTTCCTTTTGCATCACCATGTAGCGAGGCTTTTACGTTCATGCGATACAATGTTGATTAACATCGATCGAGTTTGTCACATTTTGCACTTCAAAGATTTATGTAAAGCAAAAAAACTCAGTTTAAAAATTGACCATTTTGTTTCCTAAAGATCGTACGTCTTGCGTTGCTTTGAATACGCTAGCACACCGATTTATCATGTCCTTTTGTGTGGATAGCCTAAATAATTCGCCGTGCGTGAAAAGTATTATATTGGGTATAACAACAAAATACATGTAGAAGACACAAGTCTTAAAAATAGATCGACTGCACCCTGCTTTATGAACTACATTTACATCATCTCTTGGATAGCATGAAAAAACAAATTGCAAACAGTCAATCCGGTTGCCGTTAATGATTATTGAAAGTCTTATTTGTTATTTTTTTTTTGGGGGGGGGGTTGGTGGTGTGGTGAGTGGTAGAGATAATTGATGCTCTGAAAGTCCAGGTAACCTTCCCTCGGAATCCCACCTGTGCCGCCATTATAAAATAGGTACTCGAAAATTGTCGATTAAGTATCTCAAAATATCTTAGCTTCATCTCACAATCCTCAAATGAATTGTACATGCAACGTGTCGACAGCATACGTCTGGTAATTCGCAAGCCGCGGCCTCCTGTTGTAATATTCTGAGGGTTCGGTTTTCATTGTGTGTTTTTTTCGTCATAATTGCGCATTTCGTGAACCATTGTCATAAGGCTGACATTTTGTTCAGCGCACAATGTTGGCTACCCGGGCGGTATAACTCGACCTTTCAAAAGCTTTTCAATCGAAGAAAGATGCTGTAATGGTTTCTCGAGGCCAAACGATGCAATTTGCTAAAACAAAAACGGCTAACGTACGGTGGCTCGTATTCGCAAATTCGCTGCGCGACTGCAGTCTTTTTACTTTGGCACGGTTTTGATTGATTGAAGGGGGGGGGGGGGTTTGCTGGACAGAAGTTAGTTATATCCCATTTTATTCATCTGATCTTCAGAAAGCATTGAAAGGAAATTTCTGTATAAGTATGGTTTAGGCAATATGGTTTAGACTCTAACTATGGGATTATATTTCCTAATCCCGGTATGAAATCATGTATGTTCAGTAAAAATATACAAAATACCAAACCTTATGCACACAGAATGCGCATAACGTTTGAACAAGCGCTGAAAAAAGCGAATCTCAACTATAATCTTCTGCAAGGATTGCATAATGAGCAGTTTCATAAAGTTAAATAATACCGATATTTTTGACAATAGAATCTGATGTGAAAAATCACTTCTGATTAAAGGATTGTATCTCACAGTGCATTGTATAACAAAGCAGGGGGGTTATTGGTTCGCGTAATGGGATAATAATTAGACGTCCACCACGAAAAAGCAATAATTTTTTTCACCAAATAATACATGTGAAACATGTCCATCTTTCCCCGACAGTACCAACCACCACCCAATGTTCACCGGTTCCCGTCAGAAACGATTTTGTTTTGAAGAGTGATTGTATGTTTCAGCAGGCATCGTTTATTTCATAAACGATGCCTGACATCAACAATCACTCTTCAAAAACCCATTTTGATCTGAATTAGGGGGCAATGTCCCTGAATGCGTGTAAATGAAACAGACCGAAATTTATCAAGTCTGGCCAAAAACCAATAATCTTCACTATTCATTTAATTAAAAAAAAAAGACATGCTTTTATATGGCATCAGGGGACATGAGGCAAAAGTGACTTAGGCCTATTAGGATAGTTGGGATGTCGCCTGGGGAAAATCCCAATGAACCAGCGACATTTTTTAATATCATTGACTTTAACAAGGTGAATCTACACACCTGGGTTAATAAGTTAGGACGATATCCTGCGTATGCATGTACAGAGTTTTGCTAATGGCGGTAGATAATTTGCATATTATGCTTAAAAACACATCATTGGAGATGTATGGCGCAGGCTAATTTCCATATATACATAATTATCATTGTAGAAATTGCCTTACTGAATTCGTTGACTCCATCAACATGGGTGTAGACACCTCATTTGATACGACTGGGCCAAAGTACTGTGAAGATAGAGATATGTTAACATTTCTACAAATTGAGAATGGCTCACAAGTTCGTATAATAAGTCTTACTGGTAAGGTAATGGAAATGAAAAATCGACTTTCGTCGTTCGATCGCATGACGACTTGACTTATGGGCCTTTTCACTAATAAATACATTATTATGCACGCATGCGCATAACTGGGCCTGGCGGTGAGAAGCGAAGGCGGTCCATTATGTACAGGGGTCCAAATATTCGGGTAAGTTTCTCTCAATTTGTCCAGGATTTGTCGCTTTTTTTCTTTAGAAAACACCATTACATCACCATAGGATGTTACTTTCAAGCCCGAGTGTTTTTTTTGGGGGGGGGGGGGCAGAGAATAAAAATACAAATTCAAAAGTAGGGATCCTTTCCGCACCAGTGGAAAAAATAACCCTGTGCTTGGGTACCCGTCCACAAAATTTCGGGCCTGATCGCGGCCTGAATCAGCCCGTGATTCAAACACGTTGAAGATCGATGATGATAAAACTCCTCGATTTACAGTATAAACAAACCTGCTGGGGTGGACAAGCATTACATTCACTGTGTGGACTTCTGAACAAAAGATGTCCGCATAAACCAGGTAGCAGCGTCGTTGTGTGGACTTGCCAACGTCCACACAAGGTTTTCCCCTCTCTGGAAAACAGGTTTACAGGCATTTTTGGGTTAGGTTTATCCGTGGCAAAATGAAAAGAAACACTAAAGGAAATCATAGAAAAAATTGAGTTGAAAGAGTTTGCACAGTTTGCAAACTGTGAACATTCTCAAATGTTTGAGAATTCTCACTGGTTTTTCTTAACTACACGAAAACAAAGGAATGTCCACACTATAGGTATATGTAAAACAAACGGGTATGAACGTATAACCACTGCTTTATGGGGTACCGGAACAATGGGAGGTCCCCCACAAGGAATGTCCACCGACTTGCGGGGTACCGTTTTGGTACCCCACAAGTTTTTCACGAAATAGATATAAGGATCTTACTAAAAAGGGATATTAAGTCCGAATTTCAGCCCAGGAAATTAATTCTGGTTAAAATAAGAGCATTTTGAAATTAGTGTGCGACATTGCACAATTTTAGTACACGAGAACAAAGGAAGTACCCCACTTCTATGCCTATGTGTGTGTGTGTGTGTGTGTGTGAATTGATACACCGTGCCCTCTGGAGACATGTGTACAATAGGGAACACAAGATTGTATACGTCTCCACAGGACAATTTCTATAGATGAATACTTCTCCACAAGATTTTCACGAAATAGATATATGGATTTTACTCAAAAACTAGGAATTTCAAAGGTGGGTTGATCAGTCGCAAATGGAAGAGTTTTAGAAAAGGGATATTAAGTCCGATTCTGGTTTAAATAAGAGCATTTTGAAATTAGTGTGCGACATTGCAAAATTTTAGTACACGAGAACAAAGGAAGTACCCTACTTCTATGCCTACGGAAGCGTGCGTATGTAAACACCGGCAATCGTGGACGTAGGACAAAAGAATTGGGGCGCAAACAATACGTCCACGTTTGACCGCACGTCCACGATCTGAAATCGTGTACAAAACCAATGAGAGCTGTCGCTAAAAAGTTAGAGTACAAACAAAGGAAAGAGGATTAGGGACAATGGGGCGTCCACGATTGCCGGCATTTACACACGTGGGTGCGTGTGGGTGTGGGTGTACTATAAGGTGGGGGAGTGGTAGAGATAGTTGATGCTCTGAAAGCCCGAGTGACCTTCCCTCAGAATTCCACCTGTGCCGGCACTATAAAATATAGGTACTTGAACATTTTTCGATTATGTATCTCAACGTGTCCAAGCTTAATTCACTGTCCTCAAATGAAGTGTAGGCCTATGCAACATACGGCAGCATAATGTCTGCTTTGCAACCCGTAACCTCCATTCGTTATATTCGCTGAAGGTTAGTTCAACCCATGGTGATAATTGCGCATTTCATGAACCATTGTGTAAAAGCTGACAATTTTGAGTGCGCAACGTACCCAGCCGGTAGCCCGTCCTTTCCAAAGCATTTTTAGTCATTGAAATATGTTGTAATGGTTCCTCAAGGCCAAACAATGCAATTATTTTATCATGATAACCATGTTAAATGAGTCTTGCCGTTAGCCTTTTAATTTATTAAAAAACTAATGCGATAAAATCTACCACCTATAGGCTACTCAATAATGGACAAGGTCTCTCTCGTTATCATCTAAATTGCTGCGATCTGAGGCAATTTCTGGCCACTTAAAACATTTTTTTAGCAACAGATGTGGTGTACGCCGCGCACTGGCTGCCTATTTTTGCGTCGTCACTTTAAAAAAAATGGATTCGTTTTTTGTTTCCGAGGGAGGGGGGGGGGAGGGGACATGGCCCCCGGATCTGCCGTCGACTGTAACTATATATACAAGTGAAGATAAAATCACCAAAAGGAAGTACAAGAATAAAAAAAAAGAGAACTTAGGCCAAAAAAAAAAGTTCCGGTTTCTGGTCTGCGCGCGCGTTGCCGTAGCCATGCTTGTCTGCAAAATTTAAAAGTTTTTTTTTCAATGTAAAATGATGTCTCAAAACCGCCAAACTCACTGGTTTGACTGGAATCCTCCTGCTGCATAATTTTAACGTTTTTTTTAGATGGGGTTACGATCAATTATAAGCTTTATGTGGCCTCTCTGGGCTCCCATACATTTTGCACTAAATTTAGTCGGGCACCATTTCCAGTCATCAGGCGAAATTTGAAGGGAAAAAAAGGAAGGAAAAAAAAGCCGCGTCGCCGCACCACTTTTGGGGCAAGCTCCATACCAGAAACCAGAGCCTTTTTTTGACCTTACGTAACTCATCAGAGTAAAGGGAAGACTCTACATGGTGTTCTTTCGACACCAAGGATTGAAGTACATTATATAGGCTTGCGAGTATACCATGGTGCAGTGAAACGTGCATTATAGCTGTATTATGGGCTCCTTGCGCCAACAAGGAGGGTGCATTTAGCTCGGTTGACGCGCACCGTTCCTTGTGTGTGACGCACGTACACCAGGGGATTTGTACTATGTACACGCAGTGGTACAGCCGCGCGTCGCGGCAAAATTGCAGTCAGGCAAGATGACGTCGGTCGGTCACCCCCAACTGTACTTTCTTTGCCGGTGAGGGGGTACTTGTGAATGGAGCGGATTCAGTTCTCAGCGTGCAATACAAGTGTACAAAAGAACCCCCCCCCCCAAAAAAAAACCCCCACCAAATCCGCAGTATTTTCTTTATGATTTTTTTGCCCGCACCCCAACAGGTTCTGGTCATTATGATGGAACTATCGCACTCAGGATCCGAGCTACACAAAGCAAACGCCGGCGTTTTTGAGGAAGGCCGACCGAAGATTGGAACGCTCATCCAGGCAAAAATGCCTGATAAATTCCCGGTATTAAAGATTGGCAAAGATATGCGGCCGTTATATTTAAAGTACAACTAGAAAAGTCAATAGTCTAAGTATGTTCGTCGAAGTAGGTTTGACAGGAAAACTTGATTAAATTTTCATGTAAGACAAAACCCACAATGACCCGTCAGCCACTAGGTTAAGGAGAATACACGAGAAAGTGTGGATTCGTAATTTAAGAATTCACGAGGCGCGAAGCGCCGAGTGAATTCGTAAATTAAGAATCCACACTTGCGAGTGTATTCTTCGACTTAAACCATTGCGTCAACAGAAGTATTGGAAAGAATGCTGCAACCTGACGCCTATTTTTGCTTCATATATCATCTCAATGAAGGTCATTCGTTGCAAAAATGATGATAAGACATGAATCTGGGACTGAGAAATGTTTCAAATTGTGTTAGGAAATACTTGAAATGACTCTCCGTAGACTTCGTACACAAGCGCGGAAGTGGCGTCAGGTTGCAACATTTGTCCCTGGCATGTTTAGCATGTGTATCGCCACATCCGTACAACCAAGCCATTTTGTGTGTATAGGCTCCTTACGACAAAATGGATAATTCAGACGACGATTTCTTTCTGATTTCAAGTAGTTTTTGAGGTGACGGCGGCGAATGTGACAGTGAAGATGCATTGGTAATTTTCGAAAAACAAATTTTCACGCAGACGGTCCTATTCGGGCTCATTATGGGGAACAATTGTCCGACATGTTCAAAGTGTGGAATCGTAATTCCGAATCCACACTTTTACGAAAGATTCTTCGTTCCGAATCCACACTTTGTGACCAGTGTAAGAGATTCGTAGATCCGAATCCACACTTTTAACAATAGTGTGACGTCATAGCAATGGTTTAATAAAGAGTAACCGTTTTTTGTGACTGTGGACAAAACTGTATTAGAAAGAAGGCTAACGTTTTCATTACTTTGTTGAACAGTGGTTTAATTTTCGAATGTTCTTGTATAAGCATGTTCAAATAAAAACATATATAAAAATAATAAAAATAAAACTATATATTTGAAACGTTATTTTATTAGAAACATCGTAAAGTTGGAAGACGGAGGGAAAGTTCATATTAGTAATGACCAAGGAATTTAAATATTCTTAATATTTTAGATAATTTAGTTCAATATATACACTATACACAATTATAATTAATCGGTGTTACTGTTTAAAGAGTTTTAATCAAGACATCACAAGTCAGTCACAAGTCCCGAAGTCAAATAACAAGCTGTTCATAATTTGTATTTCTTATTTTAACTGGGTAGCCCGTTCAGTGAAATCCAATGGAATCCCGTGATCTCCCATGGGGCCCAGTATTAAGAGAAGACAATGTGAAGAAATTACAGTTTTAGATGTGGGAGGAAAACCGCTGAAGCATAGTCTGAGGAAAACCCACGGAATCAGGTTGGGACTGAAAACCCAATCCACATATTGGACCCAGCAGGAATCGAACCCGGGTCACAGCGATGAAAAGTGAGGAAAGTGCCAACCTGACTCGCCAACCTTACACTGCAAAAACTGCAGTGTTAAATTTACACCATTGGTATCCATATAGGACCATCTGGTGTTAAATATTACTGGTGTTGTTCCATATAGATACCGAATGGTGTTAAATTAACACTACTGTTTTTGCAGTGTACTGTTAATGAACTCAGACAAAGGAATTACATTGTCATTGTTAATTCAACATCTGGAGTCAGGTTAGGGGGAGTCAGGTTGGTGCATGGTTACTTTCCTCGCCTTCCACCGCTGTGACCCGGGTTCGACTCCTGCCCGGACCACAAGTGGATTGGGTTCTAAGTCCGTACCTGAGTCCATTGTTTTTCCCCAAAATATTCATCTGGGGTTTTCCTCCCACCTCTAAAACTGCAATTGCTTCTCGTTGTCTTCTCTCTACAGGTTTCGTCAGGCTTGCGAGCTACAGGGCCTAGGGTGCTTGTGAGGAATCATTGGTTTTATCACCAGAACATAAATAATAATAATATTTTACTTGTGACCCGAGTTGTGATTTGACTTATGATTGACTGGTGATTATATAATTTAAATACAATCAACATGTATCTAACTCCTGATTGACTTGTGCTTGGACTTGTGATTGACTTGTGATTGAGTTGTGACTGGCAACAATCTCTGCTTGATGCCAATAACACTCTCGGTAGCTCATCTTTCTTTTTCGTGGGAATTGCTTCAAACCCAATAGCTCATTTTAAGCCTGCCTACTTGTCACTGGAGTAATCAGTCAAATCAGCCATGGACATAATGTCATAATATGCAATTTCAACTCGACCTTCATTTTGCACATAATAGTAATACATCCGTGTAGTAGAAATGCCATATACCCGGCGAAATGTACACTTAATATCTTACATCTTAATATCTTACATAAGCAAAAATGCAAATCGGGCAACATAGGTATATCATCTGTACATGAAATTGTACTCAGGTGCATTGTTTCAGGCTACAGTGAAAAAATAAAAGCAGCCTATATACGCGATACAAAATGTGTAATAACGTTATACTATTGAGTGCTATCTAAATACGTTTTGAGGAAGCAGTTGAAAGCTCGAAGTGTAAACACTAAAAAAAACTGGCCGATATAACCTTTTCTCTGATCATATGCCTAATCAAAATTTCGACTTGTTGGCTACAAACGCAAAGTCTCGATAACCAAACTTGGGTCATTTTCATGGTTCTGCTTACCACGGGGCTCCGGGCTTACGATCATCATTATCTGCCTTCTGCTTTCTCTGCCGTTACAGCGCAATTTCTTGGTAAACCCGTAAGCAGAAAAGGGCAATGCGCACAGGCCCTATTAAAGCATAAAAAAACATTGATAACCGTACAGTGTAATACTCCTTATCGTTGGAATCTGTTTGTGTTAAAGTAAGCTCGTAGAGTTTTTACTCGCTTAGGCCTATATTAAGCACAGCCAGTTTGGGCCAGTTTGGGATCTGACGGATGATAGGAACTCAAGACGTAATAGTTGATGAAGACTCAGAGTTCAAGTTTTCTCTCATCATCTGTATGAAGTCCACCGGCTGAACGACGAGGGCGACGTCCTTCCCGGCCCGGCCGAGTGCCTCGCTGATGTCCTCGGTGCTAGCGAACAGATCGACAGGTTGGCCGTTGATCTCCGTGATGGCCCAGTTACACATGTGACCTGACACCCCCGTGGTCTGGGGCTTGAGATCCCCTCGGCTGGAGGCCAGGCCGTAGGGGAGCACGCTGATAATCTGCGAGAACAAGCGAAATTCCACGTTAATTCGAAACACTTTACCGAGCCGCAAAATTGTATATCGAAAGCGAGCTTGATAGAGTTATGAATTCGAAGAAAAAGTGTATCTTAAACTTGTGCGCATCTGAAAACATAAAATCTGGAAATAATAATAACCATGCTTTATTTTGCTATGTTCGCCTTTCATAGTTTGTCAACCCGTGGTTGACCAAACGTGCCCACCATGGGTTTGCAAACAAATGTCAATGAGTGTACTTCAATTTGCAGTGACTACAAACACTCATGTCCCGCGTGCAAGTTCGGAAACATCTCCATTTTTTCCCCCCGCAGAACATAGCACAGGAAATGATCAAACTATAGCGTTAGTGTATATACCTCATTTCCTTCCACTGTGATCCCCAGATCATCGTTCGGTGATAGCCGTGTGATGCTGCAGACGAAACCGTGGGGAATTCGTTTCAGCACCAGGGTGACCTGTCACGCAAAAGAAAAAGGAAAGAAGGACAGAGCATTATAGGATGAGCACTGAATCGCAGACACGTGGCTAGATAGTCACTCACATCTATCCAAAATTTCATCCCAATTTAGAGTATCCCAACACATGGTGACACTTGTATTAATTGAGGCGATACTATCTACCAATAGATCCTTGCATTGCGGCCATCTTGGAGTATTCTTGTGTATTCTTGTGTATTCATTATGTTAGTGAATAACACAACAAAAATCAACAATGGCCGCTTAATGCTATCGGTCTATACATGTATACCTCATCTTCAAGTTTGAAAGAACATGTGTGTTGAGCTGTTGCATTACCCCAGAATAAGCGAGTTCGGTTTTCCAACTGCGCATGTGCACATCAAGATTTGCCGATTTTTCTTTCGGGATAAAAATGTCATCGTACGCGTGCAAAAGTATAGCCGGGTACCAGCAAAATTGAATTGATCATCGTGTTCTAAATGAAGTATATTATCCCCCCCCCCAAAAAAAAACTTTGGACAGCGAAGTGTTTTAGGAGTCTTGTGTGTCAAAACCTTTGTGCGAACGAAAGTTCCATCTCTTTTCGATTGCACGAAAAATTGTACAGAATGCAGATTTGGTTACCACGTCCCCCATAGCCTTGTGTGCATTTAGCTGCCGCGGTTATCCCAAATGGGGAGATTGCATAGAATTGTTGAAGAACTTATAAATAATGATGTTCACAGTTGTGAAATTGTGAAGGGGGGGGGGGGGGTCATTTCTCAATTTGCAACATACTGAATTATAGAGGGTATACATGGGGTCAGAGTAGAATTTTTAAATTAACTTTGAAAACGATTTTTTTTTTTTAAAGTTAAGGACTGAAGCACATTTGCCAGTACATCGACTTCCATTCTTCACACCTATAGTGTGCCAAATTTACTCAGCATTTAAATAACCTGGGAATAGAAAATAAACAAATTTTGCAGGTACCTGGTCTTCGTCCGTACTTCGGATGGTTTCCCTGGCGTACATAGCCGAGGTGAGTGCCTGCTTGTTGACTTTGATCAACTGATCACCGACTTTGAGAAAGCCTCGCAGCTGCATCCCACCTTCATCCAAGCCGATCACCCTGACAGCCGAAGACATAAAAAAGTACAAACGGAGTGAATGAAAGTCAATTCGTTAATCATAAATCCTATCATTGTGTTTTCGCTTCCACAGAAACGTATTCATCGAGGCCTGACACAGACCTGCGTGTTTATATTCAAGCAACAGATACTTGGCACTACACGGCTCTTCACGATATACATAATGCATTGTTGGCACATGACGATTGATTTTGTAAGTTTAAGTGACGCGCGCCTAAGTTAATCGCACCGTGCACACACGCACACCGATGATGGCAGCACCGCTTTAAAGCTCATTTTGAGCGAACAAGCGGACTGTTAAAACCCTCTAGGAACACTCACCAGATGCCATCCTTTTTCTCCATGAGCTTAATCTTCACCCGCTCCCCGACGAGCGAGGTCTTGTTGAAGGTCTTCTCGATGCCATGGAGCTGCCGCTGTTCCTCCTTGAGTTTTCTGAAAGAAGGAAACTACATATTAAACACCGAGAACAAGGGTGGATTGGAAGAAACATTGCAGAAAAGGTCTTGTGTGTTTAAGTAAAAAAGTCTTTTGGAGAGAGGGTATTCTGTTTGCACACATTGAAATTTGGGGGTAGGAGCATAGCCGTGTCCGTCCCAATACCTATGTTTGTTATACCCAAGCAACAGGCGAATTTGAGTGACTTACTGTATCTTTTTTCGGAGTTGCTGGCCAGTGTGGACAGGCACTGGGGGTGGGACACGCTTAACGGTCGCATCAGGCACCTGGGTGTTGTCTTCGATGCTGGACTGACTGTTTCGCTCCGATGCGGAGTCGTTGCCTTCTGCTGGGATGTTGTGGTCGAAAGGCGGAGGAACGCGGTCCTGCGATGGGCTGAGGTTGTTATACGAATCGTCTCGCTCCTGGTTCCCGCCAACAATCACGGTCTCATAGGCGTTCTCGTTGTCGGCTTGGAGTTTTGCGACGCCATGATGTAAAGTATACACGTTTTCCTCCCGAGCCAGACTGCCCTTCCTGAGTGCTATGGTAGCAAGATGTTCCTCCTCGGAGCGCACGAAATGAACGTTCTCGTACACGACGTCCGAATCCGCCATGTTTTTACCTGAAAGGTTCATCATGTTAAAAACAATCTCAAGATTTATTTCTTGATCAACTATTTTATACATAATGTCAACCACTTGCCCTTCTGATCGTCAACTGACAGTCTGACGGGTTATGCCTAAGTTACTGTCACATAACTGGAGTGTTGTAGCCTCGTGGTAGAAGGTTAAGAGCATTGGATTCGTGGTCTGCGGGTAAAGCTGCGGGTTGTGGGTTCGAGTCCAGCCCGAGTCATAGTGCGTGTGCCCTTGGGCAAGGCACTTTGTCACACAATATGCTTCTTTCCACCCAGGAGTATTTGGATACCTGTGAGGGCAGAGATTTACTGTAATTGGATTAGCCTCCTTGCGCCTAACAGGCAGGATCGAACTGTATACTCCCCAGGGAGCTGAGATGGTATTTGGAATGTTTCATGGGCCCAATGAGCAGTTTTGATAATGATGTATAGCGCCTTGAGCACCAGTCCTGGTGGATACGTGCGCTTTGTACTCATTATTATTATATTTTATTACAACTCGCACATTGCAGTATTAAAGAAAAAAAGTTTCAAATTAATGATTGTCAAAACTGGACTAAATTTACCTTCGTCATTGCAAGCGACGACGTGGTGTCTTACGCAGCACAGGGGAGCCTGTCCAACCTTGGCTACTTCACTGTCATCAGCATCCTCCGGGATTGTGTTCAGTTGAGGAAGAGATGGGACCACATCATTCAACTCGGCTCGAAAAGTGGTGTCCAGATTTGGTGTGGTCTGGGGAGCCCCAGCACTCCTCCCCCGACGGACTGGCGGTTTAGTGTCGGACGTGTCAGTGTGGATCCTCCGTCGTCTAACGGGAACGACATCGTCATCGGAGCCTGCTGCTGTTGCCGGGGCTTGCCCAAGCGATCCCCGGAGGGCTTCGTACCACTCATCGCGCTGCTGTCTGTTCTCAGCCCGGAGATGAAGGATCTTCTTCCCGCGTTTGATGCTGATGTAGTTGTCGTGCTTCTGTCTATCGACTTCAACCTTCTCGATCTCCGAACCCAGGATCTTTTTCTCCAGCGTTTTCTTGGTCCTGTCTTTGAAACGGGAAAACACAGCGCCCTGATCTTCTTTCAACTCCCACCATTTTTTGGCATCGGATTTCTGCCATGAGAAAACATAATATTGAGTCTGCATTATAAGGATTGATTCAAGCCGAAAATTGAGCACGGCATACATTAAAACATACAATTTTGTCAGCGAGCCTTTCGTAGATGTTGCTTATTTGCACAAAATAAGACAAAACAAAACAAAAACAATACATCAACCAACAAAAACACAGACAAAAATTATCAGAAACAAACAAACAAACAAATGTAAAACCCACACAAACCCTGCCCCAAAAAACAACAAATAAAAACCAAAAATAAAGAACTAAATAACAAAACGCAAGGCCAAAACAAAACAAAACAAAAGCCAAAAGATATGAAATCATCAGTTTTGTTAATCAATGAATCACTCAGAAATACGAACAGAAAACATTACTAACTGCAGTGAGCACAATCTTCAATTTTGCATGACCTTATTCCTTGCCAGCAGTTGAAAATGCATACAAGAAAATCCATAAAATAGAATCTTTTTGACAGCAAGTCTTTTCAAGAAACTGATAAGTCACTTCGGACATCCAAAATCAATGGGTATAATTCAGCACCAAAACTGGCCCCACAGTAGCTTCATCGTCAGACGCAAAACCGGTCTTCAATATGCTAATAATAATCCATCACCACTCTGTAACGTTCACTTACAAGTATGCTGTTCCACTCCTGGGTGAGATATCCTTCCTTGAATATTGCGCCTGACTGGAGACTACCGTGTAACGCCATTGCTGCCGAAGTGCACGTATATAACCTGTCAGTAGCAGTGACGAGAAAAAACCCCCAGAATATCAAATTAACTCTACTTGTCAAAATGTAGTGAGAACACAATAATCAAGAAACTCAAACTTAGCCGATTTCAGATCAGTGACAAGATCATATCAAAGGCATTATTTTATAAATCTGACAGTAAACAGTCGACACAACCAAAGCGTGTACGACTTTCTGGCTGAGTTTTACTTGTGAAGTGTAGCTTGCTGGATTTTTTTACCCTGTTTTTATCAAACTAACAGTATACGAACTATTCCTAGAAACCCAGGGAAACCCAGTGCTAAGTTGCCACCCGGAAATAACTGGCGTACTATTTCACAACGTTGCGTAAGTTTCCCCCCCAGTCCGTATATTGATAATGGCACGCAATTGTCGCTTTTAGAGCAGAGACCGTTCAGTAAAAGAAGTTTTTTGAACTTTGATCTCGACACGAGTGTATTCAAAAATCTGTGCTCTTTCTCTTTGTGATCTGCGGCAATTTTGGAAAATCCCGTGCGCCCCCTCGAATTGCCAAGGGCGAACGGGGGACAGGTCCCGCTGGTACGGGGTATTGTGGCGTCTGCGGGGGCGTACAGTAGGGCAAAGATACCCACTAAAATTGTTCACATTTACATGTAATATCCATTTTTAGATGTACTATTGTGCCCCTTAATTCGTATTTATTTATATTTTTATAGTTATACCATAGCCACCATGTGAAACATCGTTGTGTTTAGGCATCAAAGAATTTAGTCTATATATGTCGATGTAGCTAAACATGTGCCGATTTTGACAATATAGTATACGACATTAAAAAGTCACGTGAACAACGATACGCTCATCAACAATTAATAAATTATTCTCTTGAACGATGATCGTTTATTTTCTAAATCTCCTGTAATCCATCGTCGACTGATTATTAACAAAATACATCAAATGGCGTTGTCTCGGAACGGGGCACGCACTAATTGGGCAGATTTTGCCATCTAATAATGACAAATAATAATGACAAATAACAAAAGTTTTTTTAGCTTTCACACTTTGGAATCCGCAGTGCGGAGTTAGAAATGCAAGTAAAGTATCAACTTGGAAAGCTTACAAAACATCCTTACCGATTCAACCACACTTGAAGTATGTAAAGGTATGGACACGTAATATTTGTTCCCCCCAAAAAAACAAAACCCACTTGTTGCCGAATCACCAGCAATACAGTAAATACGAAGCATGCCGGTTGTTAAAAAAAACTAACCAGTCGATATTTCAGCTCAGTAGATATCGTACTTTTTTTTAGAAAACTTTGTTAATGCATCTTCATGTTTCTCATTACACAAAGCAAGGTTTCCCTTGAAAGCGCAGTGGTTTGGTCCTAACAATCGAGAGGAAGTGATGGTAGTTCCCCTTTTCTCAAAAAAAAAATACAGCACACTATTGTTTCACAGGATACAATCAAGTATTTCCTGAAATTGTTTTGACAGTTTCATTGTTGAAGGTCTGCGAATGGTGTCCAAACAAGTCTAAAAACATAAAGGCCTAGACATAAGTGCTTAATCAGGCCCGGTTTATCCAATAGGCACAGTATAGGCACTGTGCATAGGGCCTACGAAACATGTGGGGGCCTACGACCAATTTGAGGGCCTACAAAATACCACAGTGCGCCAACAGGGTTTTATAGAACTATCAGTCTGGCCTGTCTTGTTTATAGTACATCAAAATAAAATAGGTGCTGGCACCTAGTGCTGAGTACCAGTAGGGCCTACGAAATACTGGTGCCTAGGGCCTACGGAACACTTAATGCGGCCCATAATTGTTGTTGTTCGTGCTATGTTTTCGTTTGAAGCAACAAAAGTGCTTAAAATCTTAAGTAGGGTACATGACAACTAACCTATTAAACTACTTGGCTCAGTTGCTGTTTTACCAGGGGTCGACCTTAACTCTTTTTTTTGCACTAGCCAGCCGGGCTACTGAAACAAACTCTTAACTATGGGAGACATTTTGTCGTCATTGAATTACACCTAAGGAAGACACCGGACATTTAGGGAGACATTTCAATGTCTCCGTAATGTCACGGTTAAATGTTACCGTCGCCAATAGGCTAGATCGATAGCTCGTGGTCCAAAACATAAATGCATACCAACATCGTGGGGTAGGATAAAGTAAAATTGGGGTTGACATTCAAGATGGACAAATGTTGTACACAAGTCTATGTGAATGTCTCCCTATTGACCCATTTCCCGTAAATTATTATTATACATTTTATTATTATTATTATTTGTATTCCGCTAAATATACCATTAAGGAGACATGTTATCGTAATTTCTTCGAACAGTGCGAGACATCGGTCATTATAGGGAGACATATTCATGTCTCCCTAATGTCACAGCCCCCCTTTAGAGGCGCAATTGTATAGTCGCAATCAGGTTATATTTGTTGCTCGTGGTCTAATTAGTAAACATACCGAAATTCTTGGAAAAAGGACAAGGGAATATTGGGTTAGGGCACATTTAAGTTTGAAAAATTTTGTGCACAAGTCTGAAGATGTTTCCCAAATGTGCAATCCAAGGTACGCAAAAAGGTACCCGTGGGAAAGTTGTTTTAAAATCACTTTCAATGATTATTTACTTTCGATCGAAACCATTTTTTGGCCATAGAATTTGCCAGGATATTTTGGGAACACTCGTATCTTCACTTTGGGCAAGCTTTTTAATCGGCCATTTATTAATGCTCTATACACTCTAAAAACAGATTGATATACGTGCATAAAAAGCACTTAGCCTGTATTTTGGAATATACCTCGTACAGGTAAAAATGATAACTGTTATTAAACTTTTTTGACATCAAAACAGTCACTGGATTTGTCAGTGCACGCAACTGCAGGAAGGACAGTTATGACCAATTATTAAAACCCCGGCAACTAGAAACGTAACCATCATTCATAATGAAACTGCATCTGTGACCTTTCGTTCTGCAAACCTATACGACAAACAAACATAGGTGCGAGTTAGCGAGTAGGCCTATGGCAAAGTTACACGGACAGAATTTCCACAAGAGCTTTCAAAATAAAAGAAATACACAATGTCGATGGGATTGCCGAAGGTCTCTGAAAAAAACTTGCAGCACAGAGGGTGAACAACAAAATACCGGTTCATCGGTATATAGGGTCTAGGCCTAAAATATGAAAAAGGGCGAAAAAATCTGTGAACTGGATGAACAGTATATACTCACCGATAGTTATGCTGGATGTGACACGGACGAGCGTGGTCGTGGAACTGTTGTCCCGAAAGAGGAAGTTAGTGCTTTTAATGCGCGGTGTTTTTGAAGAACCGAACACGGAAGTACGAAGTTTAAGTTTTTTCCCCACATGTGAACTCACTGCTATTGTGCCAACCATACAGGTCCGGGTTAAAAGTAAACTTTTGCTTACAAAAACAACCCTTGGATTTTTCTCTTATGTTTTCTTTTCATTGTTGAGTTATTCATAACCGAATGACATAATTCTGTGTACATTTAATCTATTTGGAGATGTATGAGCAGTAAAATGTTGACGCTGAAATTGGCCAGGGCCAACAGATGTCGATTATTTGTTTCTCGTCCAACGATTTCATGAAAATGTTCATTCATGTTCATTAAATGCATAAAAGGATCATTTGCATTTATCCGAAAAGGAACCTTGCGAATTATTATCAAAAGCTCATATGGATAAAAGGTCGTACTGGTAATTCACTCAGTGAACTTACTCCGTCTGGATAGCATGTCATTCACAAGAAATCAGGAAGTGTAAGCGATTTCCAGGGATTAGCCAATTGAGTGATCGTTGGAAAGAAAGAGTTCTATTGACGAAATCGTATTTCTTGATCAAGACGTTGCGCATGGTTCTTCGCTGTTTTCTTGAAAAGTACAATATCCACTGAGCTGAAAGTTTAACACTGAGGTTAGGTTTCGAACATTTTTATATTGATTTTAAATGGCGTTATTAGAATCGAGCAACATACATTACAAGCAAATGATCCTATAATGCCTTTAATTTACAATTGACAAATGCACGATATTCTTGATGAGCCGACAAAACAATTATTTTATGCTGATCTTACAGTTTTTTATTAATTTTATTGTTTTGCGGGTTTTCTTTTGTGTGGCGCTTTACTTTGATGAGCAATAAAACTTGACCACAGGCGGATATAGGAAATTGCGGTCGCTGTCGCTGACGAGAAACACAGAGTGGACTTTTGTTGGCCTACACTTCAACTGACAGTGTGAGCATGCGCCATCGCAGCGGTACTGCGCCGGGAATTCCCCATGTGCGTCATGTATTATAATTAGACGCAATACTGTATGGGAAATTACCAGGGCATGCAGTGACGTCAAAAGAAGTTTGGAGGTCAACTTTTTATTGTCAACTAGTGTGTTGGAGTGTCGAATTGTTTACGGATCTTTACAGAAGTTTTCGGGGGTTTCCTGTGTTGTGCAACTGCGAGTGGGGGAATGTTGAGGAGACGGGTCAGTCAGGATTTAGGTAAACCCTGGCAATTAGTCCTTATTATTAAAACGGAATTTTGTTTTTCGTATTGAAATATTCTGTATATGAAGCCAAGTTCCAATGGTGGTGGTGCAGTGTATACATTTTGGGATGCTGCCAGAAATACCCGGAGATTTGAACTTAAATTAGACAATTTAATATTATATAACAAAACATATTCTGTTTTAATTTGCCGAAGAAATAATTTCAGAATCGTTGAAGGTTTCAAAGCCCATCGAAGTTTTAAACTGCTGTGAATTTTCTGGCATCTACTCGGCGGTTTTTCATCGATAATGCATGTGCATGTACTAACACAAATAAACCATATACATGTATTTGTCACGTGCAACGATGCGTGTTGTTTGTGTTCGCCACCTGCATGGGCTGTTTGCATAAGGAAATAATGTCGACTCGTGACTTGATTGTTGTTCAAGGATGGAAGCCCTCAGCCATTGAACTTAGGCTGAACTGATAGGCTATATGGCTCTGATCGATTGTGTCGTGTCATTATTGGCATTATACATGAAACCCAATAAATGGGCCACTTATATCTACCGTCACGTTGGCAGTTTTTCCAATGGTTGGAATTTTTGGTTAAATACCTGAAACCACCAAAGACGAATTTCAACACATGAATGGACATGCAGCCTTTTGCTAAAGATGATTTTAGTTGATTATTTATATTGCTTTTTGATATTATCCTCAAATTTGGACGGAAAACTTAGGTAACTTTTTCCGTCAATTTTTGATGGAGATTTGAGGGCGATTTTAAAAATTAAGAAAGAAAGAAAGAAACGATGCAACACATATTACATGTATAATAAGCCCACACGTCCATTCACATTGGAAAAACTGTTAACGTGACGGATGCAAAGTGGCGCCCTTTATTGTGTTTATTGTCATTTACACGTTCAGACACGCATTACAAAGTAGCCTGGGTGAAGATTGCTTCCAACAAACTCTCAAACTCTTGACGATTGACATGTGGATGAGAGATAAATAGATAGACAAATACGCATAAATTAACATTCATTAAAAGCAATTAAAATGAATAATGCTTTGAATTTTTTGAAGCGTGAATTGTTGGTGATACCTCACATGTTTACAAAATAGTGCAGGCGTTAAGTGCCATGAGCTTGAACAAAATGCAACCGAAACGATTTCACTTGTTTTGATACAATGAAAGTATCGTGCATGACATTTATAAAAAAAAGTCCCGGTGGGGGAAAAGTCCCTGAGGGAAAATCCTGAAAACCGGCGAGTCATTTTTTTTTCACACGGTTCGTTCCCTTTAAGCACCGGGGTTTTCTATGGGCTGTGAGGGGTCACATTGTGTCCGCCGTCCTAATTCCTAAAATGTGGACCGAATTTGCAGGAATGTTGGTTGGCCGCTAGTCTACATTATACAACACCTGAATACATCCCCGTCATCTGACATATATTTTAGGTGGGCTAGCAGGGGTGGAGGGGGGGGGGAGGGGCTCGTATCATATTGTCAATGGAGAGAGCTCATAAAATCCTACAATCATGCAAACTATATTACCTTATAGGGTACAAATTCCCCCATCTCACGGGGGGGGGGGGGGGAGGGGGAGGGGGAGGGGGAGGGACCATATTTCCAATGGAGAGAGCTCATACAATCCTACAATCATGCACACTATATTAGGCCTACCTTATATTGTTCAAATGCCCCTTCTCATGAACATTTATTTAGAGGGGGGGGGAGGGAAACCGTTCGCATGTTACGCCACCTTTTAACATTTGCCACTGCCATTTTTTTTTAATAGTATTTTTTTTGGCGGCCGCACGTACCACGAACATAGAAGTTCCATTCCACGGGAATGAACTTCCATTGCACGGTGTCATCACTGCCGGTGGGGGCGCTGTAACACGAAGGCTGATCCGCAGAATGGCAAATTGGCGGACGATATGCGAGAATCTTCGTTTGTTTTCCTAAGAGAAATATCGGAAATTGTAGGTGATGTCAAAGAAGCAAATAAACTATGCTGCCAAAAGGTTAGACGAATTTGAATAGGATAGTTCTGAATTTGTCGAGAACAGTTTCTAACTTGCATAACTTGGATATGAAAGTTCTGAACTTAGCTGTGGAACAGTTTTGATGGGCTAGTTCTGAACTTGCCGAACAATTCTTAAAATGAAAACATTAGATATTGAAACTGAATACTAGTGACTGCCGTCTAAAAAGGTAAAACAATGATGATCAAACAAGTACCAGTTTACAAGTCAACCAATCAAATAACGAGGATTTATTAAAGTGTAAAATAAAACAAATAATGAATGTCTAACATTCGTGCAATGGAAAGAATCTTTTCATTTGGTGACAAATGGAATGTTCTTTTCTATTCCATCTGTCACAAATTCAATGGCTGTAACAACGTACCAAACAGCGCCCTCAATTTCAGAAGTGTAGTAATCTTTTTTCTCTCTTCATAATACCGGCTTGAAAATTATTCCTCGCGTCAGTTAACAGCGCCCCCATTCGAGTGTAATGTTTGCTTTGCAATAATGTTGGCCGACGTTGATCATCCGTCATGAAAAAGACCTGACTTGTTGAATATAACTATATTGATACAGCCAGGCCCGGATTACCCAAAAGGCACAGTTGGCACTGTGCCTAGGGCCTACGAAAAAATTGGGGGCCTACGAAAACTTGGGGGAGGGATTACGAAAATACCGCATTGTGCCATAAAACACATAGGCCTACCCACACACGCCCAGAGAAAAGTTTTTTTAAAAGTTTTAGGGTCTCCCTCAAAATTTTCGATTTCACCAACTGACGCTGTACAGCATGTATGCATTGGCCCTACGTATAAAATGTACGTGTAAAGTCTGTCGTTCTGAAGCACGGTGCCAGCCATGCGCGTCGATCGGTGGGGAACGGGGGGACCGATGTCGTTCCCCAACGATTTTCGTCCCTGAATAAAAATATGTAGCCTACATTTGATTCTACAGCTCAGAACAGCTGATTTAATGACTCCAAACTCGAAAAAAGATGTTTAAATGATGATCTTGTGTATGCCAAAACTTTGGCAGTCGTCAGAAATTGCCTCAGATCGCACCACAGAGCGCCTAGAATCCATTTTTTCAGGGGCCCTTAAGCGCCTCCCCCCCCCCGCCGTTTAGGCTTCGCACTCGCGCAGTTACTACTAATCAAGGTGTATGTACCACCCCACTTTGAGAAGCGAATGACGCTCTCGAAAAGTGGTGCCAACAGGCTGTTAGAGCTAGGAACTACACCAGTTTGGCCTGGCTTGATTTGTACAGCCCCCCAACAAAAGTGTGTTCTGAATCCGTCCTTGTACCCCCACTCCCATAGGCCTAATCTATACCACAGATTTTCAATTATGTGGGTTTTTTTAGACAGGGACATTTTCCGGTTCTTATTACATGATTTTTCTAGCGTATCCAACTTCAGGCGTTGATTACTCATAACATGGTTTTGGGGGACATATTTCATTTTGCCACATAAGGTCACAAATGTGCCCCCTCGAGATGAAAATGAAACTGCCCTCAAACGCATAGAAAGCATTATGATCGGATTTAAAAATGATCTCCTCTCTTGTAATGCAAAAGTGCCCCTCAAAAACACAAATACCCCTCGCGCATTAACAAGATTGTGAACCTTCTCGAGATGGAAAACTATCCCTCGAAAACACGAAGGACCCCTCTCGCAATAAAACAAATTGTGCCTCTCTCAAAATGGAAAACTGGCCTGTAAAGAAATAATAGTGCTCCTTACGCTTTTAAAATGTAATGCAAACATTTTACAAAGTGTATATTTATCAATGTTGGTAGTAAATTTTGCTCTGGGTAACATGTATTCCTTGCAAAGTGAACGAAAATAATTTCACCTCTTTCTCCTCTTTCACACCGACGGAAGGTGCCTTTTTTCTGAGCAATTGCCTCTTTTTAGTGATGCCCAGCTCCCCCCCCCTTTTTCGAATGTCCACGGCTGGGCAATTCGGGCGTTTCATGTGCCACCAAGA